TGGTAATAGTCTAAACAAAGCAAAGATGCTTCCACTCTCCTTTGACCAAATTGCAAACTGTTGCTGAGATGATGCTGGTGTTTATTTAGAGGGGAGAGTGCTGTCCAAGTCCTCGCCTAGATTCTTTGAAAAAATCCAAAACACAGACACATGTAATTACCATGAAATGTACAAAATCTGTGTCTAACCTGCCAGCAGTCAAAAGTTATTAAGGTATTGATAGGCTGATCTTGGACCAATAAGGGTATACCTAAAATGGGAGTTGTTTTTTTTTTTACTTTAATATAGGGCAGATTGTGTTCAATTATTTGCAGAATTAAACCATATTCTTTGTTAATCTCTGATTACTGTTTTTAAATAAGTAAATGTATTCAATTTTTTTATAGAAAAATATATTCTAAATAATTTTTTCATTTGATAAAATAATAAAAAGGAGTAATTGTGAGTTTGCCATTCACAAATGTCATCATAATGGAATGCTCAGTACTGAGTTTATTTTTCAACTGCTGCAGATTCATGATATTGTTTTATGTTTTGAACTTTGGATGTTTCAAGATGTCAAATATCTGCAAAGTCAATGTACATGTGCCCTGTCGAACTTGAGCAGAAGCCCCTGGTAATTACGTCTCTGGCACACGCTCAGAAGTCAACAGGAAGTAGTAAGCGATAGATAAGTGTTTATGGTTTTGCCATCTCTGTCATGGTAAAATGAAAGAGTTTGATAGTAGCAGATTTTGTAAACGTCCTATTCCTTTGCTTCAAGACAGGTTTGTTTGGAGATTGGTGATGGATTAAAGGTTTTGCATCAAGCAGAGGCCGACAGTTTTTGGAGATCACAGGTTGTTCACCTTTAGTCATTAAAACTTTTATTATATATATGATTATCTCGTACTGGTTACAAAGATCAGAATACATACTGATACATAGGATCATCAACAAAGAGTGATCAAAATTCTGGAATATAGAATTTTAAAACAGCTAGATTCTTATCCTTTTGCTGTTGACATTAAAATTCAACTACAGAATGAATTCAAATGGCTGTATTAATTGCTCAATCTGCTTCTGCACTCTAAATTGATACAGAAGAAAATAAACCTTTACAGAGTAACAGTCATGCCTCCAGTAAAATGTCCTGATGTATAGAATACACTTTGACAATTCTTTCTCATTTAAGGCTTAAGAAAGATTCCCCAGTGATGGACTAATCACTGTTTTTAAGGGGACATTTTCTGAAGTGTCGTATATAACAGTAGGTCTGGAAGAGGTAATGTGTTTCTGAGATTTTCATTGGCAATGATTTCATTCTGTCACTGTCTCCAAGCCTCCTGATTACAGGTTTTGTCAGTTCCATAGATTTTGGTTTTAATTGCATGAACTGTCACATTGAAATATACCCATTTAGAACAAAATATGTGTTTCCTATAATAGCTCTGACTTGGACATCAATTTCAATGACCCTATCTGACCAGTTAAGAGTTTACCAATAAAAAATAGGGGCATGTGGAAGAATTTATCAATCATTTGAATGTACAGTAAGATATATATAATTATCACAAACATGCTTGTCCTGTATTTTGATTTTATTTGAGCAGACTGGCTAATACAGCTTATTGCCCTAGCTGTATCTTGTCTTGCTTAAAAACTTCCTCAAAAAAGAAAACATACTAGAGTTCTAGCTTTATCAGTGACAGGGGTAACCCAGCCTCATGTTGGGGAATGACCAGTAACCCAGGACAGACATAAGATGCTGGTTATCTTAGGGAATGTCTTTCAGAGAAGATAGCACTGTGTTTACTGATCTACATGCTGAGGGCTCATCCTTACTTGATTCTGGGTCAAGTTACAGGTCTATACCTCAGATAGAACACACTTTATCTGTCAAGATAGTTCAGAAATGGGTTCCAGATGGGGGCAGTCATTACTGAGGGGACAGTCTTGTGGTAGGGATAATAAGGGAATATATACACTTGATTGTTACATTACCTCATCAACAAAGGTTCATTTGTTTTAGAGCATTCTTTTCACTTTTTGATATTTATTGCAGATGCAAAAATTATGTTTCAAATTCCATGTGCATTTGATAATAGTTTTGTTATAGTTTCAAATGGCACATCCTGAGATAAGTTCCCCCTATGGTAACCCCTGCTTGATGATCCCTGTCGCTTTCCTGTGTTTCATCTCTACCAGAAGGTAATTACACCTGCCTGGTACAGATATGACAGTCTGAATGCTGTGTCTAATCTACCAGAGGATGTCACTGAAGCAGAAGACACCCACCATATTTGGTCACATGGTGTGGTCATATGACACATGCATGGTCACATGACAAGCTTGTGTGATGACACAGCTGGGAATTGAGTTTGGAATCAATTAGGGACAGGCCTTGTGTGCTTTACTTACTTCACACCCAGAACTGTTGCTGATAGATTAAAGATAGATAAACCAGAAAATTGGTTAATGAACAGAGGGAGATAGATTTTCTGGGGGTCAGCAGTGGGGGGCTTTGTGTCTTTTTGTTTGATGATTTCAGAGTCGTATTGATGGAATGCAGTCAATGGTGCAGGCTTCAGCTGTCGTACCTCCAATCTCTGGAAGACAAAAATCAGCTGCCAACTTAAGCATTTCTTATTTACATTGTTAGTAGAGTCTTGTCCAGGAAGGTAAATAATGAGAAATTCCTGTAGAATGTCTCTAAATATTTTGGAGGTGCCACAAGTTTTGAAATATTAAGGCAGGTACATGAGTGCTTCATCATTTCCTGATGTAGTGAAATGTATGCATACCTGAAAATATTTTCCTCCATATGTTAGACCTTTACATTTGAAAGTTTTTTCTATAATTTAACAACTGGATATTTTGAACTATTAGTAAAAGAAGAAAAAATGTTTGAAATTAATTATGGCCTAAAAATAGGATTATAGTTATAAAAATATTATAAAGTTTACACAGAGTAAGTGAAAGCAAAGTAATTCAACATTAAGAGAAACTGTTGTGAAAATTTCTGAGTTGGGACACCGTTTCAGATTGGTTGTAAAGGGAACACAATTCTGGCCTTACTTGATTTTTTTTATTACAGTATTAGTTTTGTTGAAGAAATTTGACTCTTGACAAATTGTGTTGAAACTATGATCAATCTCCTTTCTAATGTCATCTAAGCAATAAATGGCCATTTAGAGTTAATCAACAGAGCCCCTAATCCGGGTCCTTTGTATATTATTGGGGATCGTACAGTGAATGTAAACCAATACAAATTGTCTATGACAAACAACTGAAATGGAAGACGTTTATCTTCAAAGTCGTTATTCAATTGTGTGTGTCCCCAAGATTGTCATCAATTTAGCTTTTATTGGAAAGCAGTAATTTCTGGTAATAAACAAGAGTTGATATGTTCCAGATGCTTTGTGACAAAACTCAGCCAAAATTAATACTCGCTCAAGCAACAGGGGATAATGGACTGCTGTGTCTTTTCTTTTGTTTTTATTGTTTCATCTATGATAATCAAAAAGGAAATGCAATAAAGAAATTTCCTTCTTTTTTTTTTTTAAATTTGTTCCCCTGTGAAAATAGATTTTTTTTTATATTATGATATCATGGTTGTAATAGTTTTTAAAATCATCTTATGTTTAAGCATAATAAATTAAATGGATAAAATAATTGATTAAGAAAGGGTTTTCAAAGATGTAATTTCAATTTTAAAAAAGTACATTTGGTGGGAAAACAAAACCCCTCATTCAAAAATGAAAAAAAAATTCCTAGAAACAATTTGTACATTTAGATTTTCTCTAGCATGTCATTGCAAGTTGGGGAGGAAAAAGACATGCAAGCTACTTTATAAATGTACAGCAATAATGAGCATTGGTAATGGATGATGGGTTCTAATCAGCCATCCATTATTATGAACTGTCATTTGGTCAGAAATAGGATGGAACATTATTAGAAGCTGGGAGACAGTGAGATGATGTCAATTTCCTTAGCTGAACCACTGATACCAACGTCGAGAGTGTCACTTAGACCATAACTGCTGGAAGTTTGTGTCAATATATTTATAAAGAGTACATGCATGTCCTTCGTTATTTGTCAACCAAGTCCTGAAATAAACAATTTTTCTCTACTCGGAACGTGGAATGTTGGTGCGTCATCAGCTTGATGCTTTCTTGTGATAAGGACACACATTACATCATTTCCTCTAATGACAGCAGCTTCTTTGAAATGGGACAAGAAAAAGGATCTGAATTTATGGACATGATCAAACTTTGGAATTCCATATACTTGAAGCTTCTCTCAATTGTCAGCAGTGAAGAGCTGGTCGGTTAAAAAAAAATATTATTACAGAGACTTTAATCTGTGGTGTGTAGCAGTAGGAAACAGGTGTTGATGGCACTGATCATTAAATCAGCTTGGCTGCTGCCTCCTGGAAACATCTTTGCTTATCAAACATCATACTTTACCGTATCTGTCATCCTCTCTACTTATTCCTTTGTCCTGTGTTTTTTAAGTGTGCATCAGACATATCTTTAGTGTGACTGGGTTTGTCTTGATTTTGGAAACTCCTACAGACAAGGTTTCCAGCTGACTTGTTCTGTACATTTGTCATCATTTTGTGGTTTGATTTAAACCTAAACACTGCTGTTTTCCATAGACTTGAGATTTATTTAAGACCATCAGAGTTTTTGTGTGTAGATTTTAGCTAATGTGTCACTTTTAGGTGCATAACACCATGGTTTTATTTCAGTGCATTTGTATCACTTGCAAATGCTTCAATTAAAGTTGAAATTACAGATATATTTGTAATAAACTAATAATTTATAGTCCAAATTCAAAACGGATAAATAAACTTATAATTTGAGTCCAAATTCAAAACAGATAAATATATCATGTATATTTTCATTTTATTATTATTAGAAAAGATTTAAATGCACATAATTAATGTTTGACCTGTGTGAAAAATTTTGATTTTTGTTGAATTTTTTTAATAATGTCATGTGTCTTTTCTTTGACAGCTTTAGATAAGCTTGGCCACAGACATATATTTAACCTCGGGATGTCTGTAGAAGTGGTTCAGCCCAACATCGTGTTTGACATCGCTAGTCTGATGCTGTATGGGACTCAGGCCACACCCATCAGACTGAAGATTCTCCTTGACAGACTCTTCAGTGTTCTACAACATGAGGAGGTGCTCCAGGTCCTACAGGGATTTGGGTGGACCTATGAGGACTACGCCAGAGGGTACATTCTGCAGGTAAATAGATCCCTGAAGCAATCAAAAGTACCCCTAAAAGCCTAAACACTCATAGAACTTCAGTTCTTCTTAAGGTCATAGTTATCTCCAGCTGTTCAATTAAATTCAAGGACAAATCTTCTCAATTATTGTTTTGAATGCTGAATTTTAATTCTTCCCGAGGCAAGAGTTAACACCATTGAATCATGTAAAAGCTGTTGAATTTAAATATAATATTTTGGACAAATATTCATACATGTGATAAGTCAAAGACCACAAAACTGTACAGGAGCCATAAAAAAACTGGAATTTGGGTGAAAAAACTGTACACTGCCTATCAAAAAACGGTACAAAAAATGGTATAAAATATCGCTTAAATTCTTCTGAAATTCCATCGTAATCATTGTAATAAACATCGTATATTTTATACCTACGAAGATCTGGGTCAGATTCACGTATATTAAGACTAAAGTCATGTATATCAACTTTAGAAGTTGGCTTATTTTTTTTTCAATCAAGTTACGTATACGAAACATTAACAGTAATTAAGTACCCCTTAAAAAATTAAGCTACCTAAAGGGGTATTTGATACGGATTTATAGCAAGATAATTATCCCAATTGGCAGTTCACACCTTCGCACGCGATGGTTTGTGTACACTACCCAATTATCAGAAGGTCAAGTGTCAAACACAGGTGACGTTATCCAGTGTCTCGTGAGCGAGAATGAGAGGAAAATGGCGGCATTTAGCGAGAAATTCAAAATACTGTACAAATTTTCATATTCCGTGAATTTTGGTGTCCCGCCAGTACACGATGAATTGGCTCAAAAAACTGTACATTTTGCGTACAGCCTGTACATATCACATGTATGAATATTGCAGTGCTTTTACGTGACTGGACAATACATGTATGTGGTCCATTTTACTCATTGGCAGTTGAAAGTTTTACTAAACATGTGACATCATGACTATTTATATACAAGTACACTATTTTGATTTCAGTTAAGATCAAGTTTGTCAGTTGGATTTAAATTGGAAAATTTTCTTCATAGTGTTTAATCTGATGAAAAGTTCTTCTCTCTGATCAGATTTTTAACAATGTGGCAAATCGTTTTTGTAGCATCCTAAAGCCATAAAACGGCACACATGTCTCAGTGGTGATTTTTACTTCAAACACAAAATCCTCTCTTGGCAAGTCATCAAAGTTTCTGAAGACAGATAGAGGCAAATTGAAATGGGAGGTTTTGTCAAATGTGCTTTTTCTTAAACATTCCATTATACCTTGTATTTGGTTGTATGGTTTTAATGTCATAACATGATTTTCACATTAAGACAAACTTTAGAGCACATTTACTTCTGGTGTATATATATAAGGAACATGTGTGTTTCTTTTCCACGGTAATTGCTGTGCACAGGGGGACATGATATTTAGGAAGACCCCTGTACAGATAACTCAAATGCTATACATTATTTACGCCACTTTGTAAATCACAGCCATTTTACATAAAAGCCAGTAGGAAGCCTGATTAGTTATTAGACACAATTGCTCGTTACTGCAAGTTATTTCAAAATTGCCTAAAAAAACATTCTGACTTTGAAGAAGTCTTTGTAGATTTGCTTAGACAGAACTTTTCCCTTTCCAAAATAGTTGCCTACAGGTTTTTAATTGCAGGGACTGTTCGGAATGTGACAAATAGAATTTTCAAATTATCTTGTCATTAACAATGTTGCTAGTTGATGAATACAGTTAACATTTTTACCTCCATTCCATCACAGAAGAAAAATGCAAACTTGTTGTTCGATCTTCATCATTTATTTTAAGGGAAAAAATGTCTGTGATAAATGACAAAGAACAATAGATATATGTATAAATAAATAATGAATAAATAAAAAGAAACTGGATGGAAAAAAAGCTTTAACATTGATACTGTATTTCCAAATTGAAAAAAAAGTTCTTGATTAAATATCCATATTTTTATTTGCTGTTTGTTTCACAAAAAGAGCATATAGGTTATACAAGCAATCTGATTTTTGTTTTGGACAAGATAGAGGTAGATATGTTAGATAAAGAGAGATTTCCCCCTAATATCACATCATAGAGAGACACTCTCTTGTAACCCTACCGTGTAAACAGGTTTCATATGACGTGGATATAGAGCTCAATACAAACATGATATATAAACAGTATGGTGCCTCTATCTTTTTGATTTTAGTCAGCATTTGACGTCAATTTTAAGCATTTAGAAGAGCAGACTTGGTTTGTTATCTTCACTGTCGACTGGAAGCTTTTTTTATTGATGGCATATTAAAGTCCTTAATATCAAAAGTTCTGTCCTGATCAAAGTCCTAAATATATTTGCTATGCTAGTGAAATTTTCTGTTTGATTAACACCTGATGCTCTTGTTATCCTGGTTCATGGGGATGAGGAGAATATTTTCTCTGATTGAAATGTCAAATGTCTCACCCACTGTTGATTTGATTTTTATTGTAAAGAACTTTTTTTCACATTTGAGTTTTAATTATGTTCATCTCCAACATCTTTGAGAATGATTTTCTAGTTTAAAAAATATCTGTTGACATCAAACAGATATCAATTTATTTATTTTTTTTTTATAATTAATGAATATGCAAGATATATGCAAGCTTATTTGGTTAGAATAAAATAATTTTCAAGGTCAAAGGTCAGTGTTCAAAGTAGCTCTAGTAAACTAAGAGTTCTTAAGTATGTGTCATTATTTAGACAAGGGGCAAGAGGAAAATATCTATTGATTTCAAATTCAAAGATCATAAAAACTCTAGCTGTAGTAGAATTACTGAAACATGTCATGGCCCTTTGGAGTATGTTTAGAGTATTTAAATTGTTTTAAGGTTAACCTGATTGAAAACTTGTCAACAAAGATTTTTTAATAAATATCTTTGAAAAAAATTAAACACTTTTTATGAGTATATTTGATTCAAAATCAGGAAAAGTTCCAACCATATGTTTGCTGATTTTATTTTTAAATGTAGAAAATCTTCACAATCATAATAATATACTGGGTATAGCTAAATATTACTAAAATATTCTCTTCCACTTGTCTACAATATGCCCGTAAACAATGAGAGGTTGGCAGGTTGTCTTTGATTTCTTTATATCCATGAAAATTATTTCCAATTTGCATTTCAAATTTGCTTATACATGCATACATGTATATAATTTGCCCTGTAAGCAATGTAGACAACAAAAGTTTGCTTAGAAGTACAGTAACATTCAATGGGGACAAATGTTTTTGAAAAACAACATCATGAAAGAGCAGCACTTTAGGTCTCAGTCTGATGATAATGTCCTTTTTGTATCAGCTTTTCTTATACCCCTGATACTCCTTGGTGTCTTGTTGGTAGAATTGCTGTTTTATTGTGTCCGAGAAAGAGCAATGGTGTCCAAATTATTACGATATGTATGGCCCTTATGAGACTTTTCCGTTGACTAGCAAGTTAATAAGGTCTGACTTGTAAACTAATAAGGATGGTTGTGTTCGGAGTTTTACGAGGGATTTGGGTGCTTCTTTTATTTGTAGCTTATACAAGTTTTTAATACAGTCCTGTTTTTATTGTCATTTTTGGGATATGGTTGACATAAAAATAGATAAGAAGTGTTATGGACATGCAATGGAAATGAAAGCTAGACAAAGCTATGTGCCAGGAAGCCAGTCCAGGTGTCAGAAATGATGGCAGCTAGAAAGAGATCAGGGACTTCTATTTATAGAGGGTAGACTGTCACAGATAGGAGTTTTGACATCCTCAAAATGAAGTTTTTTTGCAAATTGTTAACCCAAGAGAGTGATTATTTATGCTACATTGCTAAAATCTTTGTTCTACATACAAAAGTATATTTTTACTTTGCCATGTTGTAAGACCTCTATTCAAAGAATGGTATAAGATTGAACTTGTATTATCATTCATCTGAAGAAAAGTAGTTTTAATAAAATCATTCCAATGAAAAATTCTTTATTCATGGAGGTTTTTGAGATTATTCTGACGTAATGTTATACAATTATTTCTATATTTTAGGACTCCAGTGGGCAGGTATTGGATAAGTGGGCCATTGCTTCTCGTGAGGAAGAACACGTCATTCTACAACAGTTTCTACGATTTGGAGAAACAAAATCAATCGCCCAAGAAATCATTCTACAAGACAGCAAGGACCAACAAGAGCTGCTTTTTAAAGCGGGCAACCGTTCAGACTCTGAGATTAAAAAATTCATTGAAAGAAACAATCACTCTATGCAAAACTATATGAGATCTCTTGATTCACGACATTTATTTGGATCCAGGATTCCATTTGTCCCTATTGATGGGCGTTTATTGTCACCAGCATCTTTATCTAATTTTTCACCTCCTTCTTCAAGAGAGCTGAGACCCCCTGTTGTCACTGCTGGAATGACATCCTCTAGTCCAAGTTCAGGATCACCACTAGGAAGGCTACAAACCATGCAGCCATTTGACTTCCGTCGAGATCAGGGAAGCCCTGCTCTTAGTCCAGTTATCCCAGACAAACAGTCTGGATCATCACCCAGCCTCAGTCCCAAAAATCTCAGCTCTACTCCTCCTTCTTCTCAACCTGTAACACCCCCATTTACTCCAGTAAAAGGACTTGAGAATCAGGACCATTCTCCTCTGTCCCTGACAAAAATCCCCATGACTCTGCCAATTCTTCCACCAAAAGACAATCAAGGTGTCAGTGCAATAGACTACTCCACAGCAAAGGACTCACCTGTCTCTCCTAATTCAATCTTCTCAGACAGAAAGCTCAAGCATATCAGAAAATCAAACAATCCTGTCAAGCGACAATGGAACCCCTCGCCTGGTTTTGGAAGTACATTCATTGGACCGAATGGAAAGAAGCGTGTACTGTGTACAGCTTGTAACAAAACTTTCTGTGACAAAGGAGCCCTGAAAATTCACTACAGTGCAGTTCATTTAAAAGAAATGCACAGATGTACTGTGGATGGATGCAACATGATGTTCAGCTCTCGAAGAAGCCGAAACAGGCATAGTGCAAACCCAAATCCCAAACTACACATGCCTCAAAAGCGAGTTAAAATGTCAGATAGCAACTCCTTGAATGATGACTCTGACAAGTCACTGGCTTGCAGTCCCCCACCTACAATGGTCATGCCTCCTACCTTGGGACCACATGGAACAATTCCACCAATTGATGGAAAAGACATCCATCCAGCCAGCCAGGCAGCTTTCTATGCAGAACTTAATGCACATTTATCAATGTTTCCTACACCAGAAAAACGATATAAACTATTTCACAATGATGAAGGCCCAAAGGATTTTAGCATGTTAAATAACAGGGACTCCAAATTGGAGTCTGATGGAGAGAGTCTATCTGACAAAGAGGATCGTCAGAAAATGGTATCTCCCACTCAGAGAGCAAGCAGACGAAAAAATAATATTCCCACTCGATACAAACAACCAGCAGAAAACTTCTCTGATGACAATTCAGATGAAAAAGACTCACCAAAAGAAAGTATTAATGAAGGAAAGTATTTTCACAGAAGAAGAAAGATTGCAGAATCTGTTGAAAATGAGAGATCGTCTAGTCCACAATCACAAAGATACTACCTCAATCTTTCTCTAGCAGATGGAGATAATCCAGATAAAAGAGAGGGAAATGATGCAAGTCCTTCACGTAGAGACTTTCCTAAAATTGTGTCCCTCTTGTCCAAGTCCCCAGGCTATGATTCCCAGGAGGCCTTAGATTTCTCCAAGCCAAAGAAAAAAGTTGAAGAGGAATCAGAAATGGAGATTGACTTTAATACATCGGAGTCAAAGGAGTCTTTCTCTGAGAAATCAGATGAAGAATCTGCAACACAGGATAACAAAGAGGAGTTGCATGTATGTGACAGATGTGACAAAAGCTTCTCCAATGATGCATCACTGCAATACCACGTCAAGACCATGCATAAGAGTATCAAAAACACCAAGTCCATATCAGACTTCAGCAATCGCAAAAGAAGGGCATCTAGAACAGAAGAAAGTGATGGCACTGATGAAGAGAGAGAAAACAAAAACAAGAGAAAGGAAGATGAAGAAAATCACCATCCAATCAAATATAATGTTACACAGAGTAATGGAAATGGGCTTTTACAGGAAGAAGATGAGGATGATGGGAAGGGAGAGGAAGAAGAAGACAGAGACAGTGGGACGGAGCTGAATGAGATTTGTCTGGAGGAGAACGAGATATCTGTCAACTGCCATATCTGTGAGTCCAAGTTTAAGGATAATTTAGCTCTGAAAGAACATTTTGAAGTGAACCATCCAAAAGAGATGTTTAACTGTACAGTCAAAGGTTGCGAAAAAATCTTCTCCACACGAAAAAGCCGAAACAGGCACAGTCAAAACGACAATTTACATCGACATTTGTGTTCTGAGAAACAGAATGGGATAGCCTGAAGCTCATTAGGAAACTTACTCATTGCTCTAGTGCTTTATTTATTCACTCATTGTTTTGTTAAAATATTTTGTAAATGGTTTAACTTATTACATCTCACAAGCCAGCAAATTAAAAACACATATTAGAGAACTAACTACTCAAAATAACAGATGTATATTACCTATGACTGTGTTGCACATCCTCATATTGGACAAAAATTTCTTTTAAAATTGTATAAAAAACAAATTGACTTTTTTCTGATGCTAACCTTATTGTCTTTAATGAGAAAAGTACAGTATGTTTTAGTTTATGAAACATAATAGATGTCTATGCAAACTAGCTGGGAGTAAAAAAAAAAACATAACACATTCATTTAAGCCAATTCAATCAGTCATTTTTGCTTGGATGTACACATAGTCAGTATTATTTACACACAGTTACATGCAATATATGTTTTCTAGATGTCTCAGTGTTGTGCATAATGTTGTGAAGTTTTTTTTTTTTTCTTAAAATAAATCTCAGGTAAAATTGCACTTATGTAACTTCTAGTGATTAGTCATGGTATGTTCGTGTTTATTGAAAACCTTGTCTTTTTTTCTCTGTTGCAATAGTAAGTCCATCCATATAAGAAATGTGAGGAAAAAACTGCAAAAATTTATTTTACAAGGTTTTTCAAATGTTGTAGCTGCATGTATCACATTACCTTTTCTGTAGCAAGGGAAATAATCCAAAAGCATGTCTCATAGTTTACATTTCTTTTTCATTTTTTTTTTCACTTATAATATTGCAATGCTTTTACTGAAGTATTTTTGTAGTAATTTTATTGAAATGATATATATTAAACTACAATCCCTGATCACTTATCGGATGCAATGTGTGTACAGGTCATGTGAAGTCGTATATCTGTGTCGGTAGCATGCTTGATTTATCATCCCCCACCTCTGTAGTATCTATTGATTGTAGTGCACATTGTTTTTTTTTTTACTCAGTTGGTAACAAAGTATGTACATGTTACAATTTTAATTGAAGAAAAAAAACATGACGGAATTGATTTTCTTGAATTATTTTGTCAGTTTTCGAGAGAAAATAATACATATACCGGGTACTTTAAAAATTTGATATTCCTTCAACTACATACAGCATTGTTAATTTGTTGTTTGTTATGTTCCATATAGTGTTTTTCCTAGTATTTAGCGTATTATTATAAGGAGATTTTTTATGCATAGTAAATTTTTGTAGACTTACAACAGACATGTTATTTTATATTACCAATATTATGCACTTTTAAACAATATTATGCAAATATTTGTTTTTGTTATGACAAATATCTAGTCGATTATATATTATTTGAGCACATTTTATATTGATTTTGTCAATGTTCAAGTCCTGCCAATTCAGAGATGCCAAAACCTGTATATTGTGTTGAACACTTAGGTAGTGTAGACTGTGATATTTCTGCAGATTGACCTATATTCACCTCAGTCCCGCTCGAGAACTTAATCCAAATTCCACAATCTGGGTTTCAGAAGAATCCTATGACCTGATACGTGTGAAAGACCTTTGTACAGAAATACATGTACATATTGCATATGTATTTCAAGTTCTAATGGAAATCCATGATTTTAATGTTATATATTATGGGGTACTTTTTAATACCTGATTGAAACATTGAAACACAAATTAATTTGAACTGAAAGTTGAACCTAAATATTATAGCTTGTAGGTGTGTTGTCAGAAATACTACATCAAAGTGTCTTTTCAATTTTCAGTATGTGAGTAGGAAAAATGTTATCACAGATAATAAATTTTCATCACTACTATGATTTTGCTCTAACTATAGTACAGCCATATATACTTGCAGTTTGGAGTGTACAAATTATGACCCATTTTATGTGTAAGGAAGTTGTGTTATATATTGGTCTTTATGTATTTTAATAGATTGAAAAACTTTCATCAGAGATTCTTTGTGTTAGCAAGTCACTTATGCCTCATAATGATTTGTAATTTTTTTTTTTTACATAGGGCACCACACCAGATTTTGATTTTCAGTCATATATAGTATTCACTGTTCAGTATTGGATAGATGTGTTATTTGTGCAATAGGCGAAATACAATGAAGTTGTTATCATTTTATGCATAATTTATACAGACCACTTTTTGTAACAGTATTAGGTTTAGAATAAAGTTCTTGTATACACTTAAGTAAGTAGTTCATTTTTATTTCTAAATTGACCATAAGTTTCAGTTATGAGATTTATTATGATTTAATTTGTGATTGAGCCAGGTTTGGACTATTTTGTAGTTTTCCCCGTCTCTACATAGGCCATTTCAAGTATTTAGGTCACGTAAGCCACTCAGGTGGCCTATTGCTATCCATTTTCATCATGCCTTAACATTTGAACATTTTCAGCTTCTCTGCAACCACAGAACCAATTTCAACCAATTTTGGCTACGAGTGAATTAAGGGGTACAAAAATAATGAATTTATCAGCTTTGTTTTAATCTATGGATTGTTATATTATACTCAAGGCCCTTGGACCTCTTGTTTTTCTTGTATTTAGTGCCATGCTTTAATTTGTTTTTGACATCCCAATTAAAATCAGTCCAGAAATTTATTATTTCAGTTGAAGCCTTTGAAATGGCCAATTTATTGTTTGTTAAGGACTAATTACCATCTGCTCTGAATTTCACCAAATTTTTTAAAACTTCCCAACATCATCCTCACAATGTCAGGTGTCCTGAGTCAACACCTTGCAGTTGGACCCCTGACATATTTCATATGATGACTTCGGGCTTGCTTCTCATTGAGAAGCACCAATCAAATTGAAGTAGACAGATAATGTAAACAGAAAGGAATAGTGGACGCCTAAAATAACATTGTTTATCATCGAAAGGCTTAATGTGATAGGTTGAGAGATAAGAAAAACAATTGAGATTTGTAACTTTCCCGAAAGACGTCCTTGCAGTCAGCCTGTTAGGCGTATGATATCGAATGAAATTTGTCAGGGGTCCAACGGCAACGTGCTGACTCACTCAGGACCCCTGACGTTGTGAGAATGTCCCAACATTGATTTTCATCGAGAGCTATAGCATTAGATTCAAATGAAAAAAAATTTTATTTTTCGTATTTGGACATCTTTTTAATAATCACCATTTACAAGCAGGTTAACGACATCTTAAGTATCATTTTTTAGTTGTAGGTTTTTGGATAAATAATTGTCGCAGTATTAAAAACATTACTTCCTCATTTTAAATTTTCAAAAAATTCACCCATAAGAAAGAAAAATGTGTGTTATTACCAACATAGATATTAGATGTCAAGGCCAGGATAAACTCTAATGGTGGTACACGTATATATGTGGAGTTGTCTCACAGTTATCTCTCTTTTCACAGGGTCAATGAACTTTAATGAGTCGGCAAGGGCTGTGGACACGAAAATGATAAAGATTGAATCCATTCCTATCAAAGGTTTTAATAACCCAGAAAAGTCTTTGCTATCTCATTGTCTATAGTGACCCTTGATCTTTGAGATGCGACAGTGCGTCGAAATTTGATGCGTGTACAGAACTGAAATTCCTACCAGACTATGGGCTTTGGGTTATAACAAAGGTTTAAATCTCAGTGATTACTGACCTTGACCCCTTGATGTGTGGCATTGAGTCACTATCATGGGACACTTCTAGGTGGAAAACAAAATATTTAAGTTTGTGATAATTTTAAGCATATGAACCAGTCGTAGCAAATTTTGGTATTTAACATATACATGCATTGGTGAAGGGGAACAAAAATTCTGAATTTTATGGTTCCCAATTCTCAAAATCTAAAGATTTAGGATCAAAACTCCCCAAATAATGCAATCTTTGAAAATATTGATTACTTCTGAACATCTTGCACATCTGATGATATAAGCCATCTACCATAAGTATGAAATTTATTTTCCTTGGGTCTAGGGCTCTAGGCTTCACACGCCAGGATGTAGCTAAGTTGCTGGTACCTTGAAAGTATATCATGTGGACTTTGTGGATAGTTTTTATGCGTAAAGATAATGAAGTATAAACCCTATACCAACACACGAAGAGACTCATGTCAACAAGCTTCTAGGATGGCTAAACTGATCATATATTGAACACGGAATTCATCTCCATTATTTTTCTTTCTTCTTCTTGACACTTAGCTGCATATATAAAACTTCATGGTTGTTGTTGCGTTGTTTTTTATGTCCACTGGATGCATGATTCATGTCGCATAGTGAGGCAAAGTTTGAAAGTGCATTAAAAGAATTAAAATCGTCCTCTTTACTCTTGTGTATCTAGCAAACAATTGATGAGAAAAAAACTGAACGGTAAGCTCCCTTTTAAGAATTGTGAAAATCACACCACTTGGCCAATGCCATCGCTCTGGCTATTTAAAAAAAAATAAAATTAATCAAAACTTCTGGATAACTTTGATAAACTGGTCCCATGATCAATTTTTTTTTTTTTTTTTTTTGTTTTGTTTTGTTTTGTTTTGTTTTTTTTTTTTTTTTTGCTTTTTGTTTGTTTGTTTTTTTTTTTATTTTTGATTTGTTTTGTAACAACTTGATCTGGATGTGGCATGAATGCGATTTAAATTTACAGGGAATGTGATGAAAAAAAGTCGCTGCACCATATTCTGGTGACCCTCAAGGCCCATAGGCCTCTTGTTAAGCTCTTTCTATCAACAATTAGAGCTTATGCATTAGTAATAAGTCCATCTCTTTAGTGCGTCTGTTCGAAAACAAAAACATATCAAATGTAAAAATGCAACAAGCTGGTCAACTCTTGTCTCCCCCTCCTTTTCCCGACAAAGGAGTTCTCATCCAGGGCGTTGATGGTTCCCTAAGCTCTAGAGTTTCGACTTATTATATTTAGCTTGGAATATGTAAATACATACAGTGTTATACTCCATTCCATCCCCGCCTCTATATTATGAAATTAAATCAATCAAGTTTAAGTAGTGTCGCTGAGTGTGATTCATTTGAGAGGATTTTTCACTTTTAATTGAGATGTACTTGATGAATTAGTGGCCTTTAACCCCATGTCACTGCCCCCCGGAGAAAAAAAATCTAAAAATTGACAGATAGGTAGATAAAATGAAGAGTAAACGCACGACTTAATTCTTCTGGAAGACAGATTGAAATTTACTTCGTTTTATTGTTAAGTAAAGGTATTTTTTACATAGGTCACATGTCATGAAAGTTTTCTTTTAAAAATGAGGCTGTTAAAGGACAGTAGTACCCATACATAACTGTTTGCTTCTAAATGCACTCTCCTTCGTACATGTACCTCAAGAAGCCACAATTGTTATTCTGTAATTTACATAAATAGGTAAGTATATAAAACATAAATACTCAGGTGAGCATTTTTTCTATGGGCCTTTCATGTAAGTATTTCATATAAAAAGTTCACAACCATTTTAAAATTAGAGGAATTTAATGAACCATAAATTCTTTTTTTTAAAAAGAGTTTTGGAAAGAAGATTATTGGGTCAAAATGTTTTAAATCTTCTGTTCCCAATTAGCCCCCAGGATAAAAATGAAAATACCAAAACCTTATTGAACATCAACAGGACATGATTAATCATATGCTAAATGATGTTTTAGCTACTACATAACTGTAGAGCTAAAGCAACGTAGATGTTATAGAAAAAGTGCCACTTTTGGTCCTCAGATGGACACTCCTATGAAAATAAATGGACATTGCCATGCACTCATATTCCAAACAACGATTTTGCTACTGCATAAAATATGAGAGGAGTTTGGAACCAAGTTTTTGATTTTTGACCCCTTTGGTCCCTAGGGTGAAAACGAAAATCCCTAAACCTTATTGAACATCTGCAAGACACAATCAATTATATTATTAAGGATGATTTGGCTTCTGTGCAAAATGCATGTAAACGGCGTTCTGGGAATATGGTTCTTAAAGAAAAATGTCATTTTTGGTCCTAATTGGTCCCACTATGAAAGTGTAAAAATTCAAAAACCTTACGTATTGCACATTCATGGGCATCATCAACGTATTTTAGATATTGTTTGGCTACTGCGGAAAATGTAATGAGGAGGTCTGCATGGGAACCAGGTTTTCGTACAAAAATATCGTTTTTCGACCCCAAATGGCCCCCAGGGTGAAAATAAAAATTTCGAAGACTTATTGCACGTCTAAAGGACACCACCAATCATATTTCAAAAGATGATTTTGCATGGCTACTCATTCAAATATAAAAGGAATTCTGGTTACCAAGTTTACATAGAGAAACCTCCTGGAAACCAAAAGTGATGTTGCTATTGTGTAAAATGTAAGGGGTTTACAGGTTACCAGGTTTTCATAGGAAAACCAGGGTTTTCGACCCCCAGATAGGACCCTAAGGTGAAGATGAAATCTATATATATTAATCATATCCCAAAAGACGATTTGGACACTGCGTAAGTTGGAATAGGATTTCTGAGAACCAGATTTTGAAATAATTATGGGATACAGTGACGGATTTAAGGGGGGGCGCACCCGGCGCGCCCCCCCCTAAAATTGTCAAAGTTAGCATAAATCATAGTTTCGTCGAGAAAATGTAAAAATGTCCACTCGGTAGACTTCATTTTTACCCTACAAAATCTCTAGAATCCAGGAGCTTCCGGGGGCTTCGCCACCTGGGCCCCCATCAGGGCTTCGCCCTGGACCCACTGGGGGCCTCAAGGCGGCCCCCAGACCCCCTGCCTACTTTTGGCGCCCCCTCTAACTTCAATTCCTGGATCCGCGCCTGGGATAGATGGAATCAGGTACATGTGCATTTTTTGAACTCTTGATTGCACTGAAATGCAAGGTCACTGGTGAAATCGTGTTCAGTCCATAACTTTCGAATGCTTGATTGCAATGAATTCAAACTTGAGTATATCGAACATTGATGTTATACTGTGTTTCAAGACAGACTCACTCGAACAAGTTCACGTAGATATCGTCATGAATATCATTAGGCATGGGGGACATCTGTTTTGTCAAGAAGAATCAGTTTGGTTTTTTTTTTTTTTTTTTTTTTTTTTTTTTTTTTTTTTTTTACAAAACAAGCACCAGCTCCTCCAGAACTACCCTCTGTATTGGTAGAGACATACATTTTAGATTTACATGTATTACCCACTGATATTAGAAAAATCAATATAAAAAATGTTTACCTAAACGTGTTACACTGTATTTGTAATATTTCTAAATTACTGCAAACGTACTTTTCCACGGGGTCATAATTCTGCGTAATCACAATATCTGGTTAATCCGAAAGTGAAAAATTACGCGGATTTCTTGGACTGTCATTTTATGTCCTTAATGCATTTATAGAACGTTGTGACAAATTTCCGCGGAAAAAATTTGACCGCGTACATAGCGGAAATTAATCCCACGCGGAAAAAATACGTCTACAGTAGCTTTTTTTTTACTTTGGCTTCAACACAAAAATTCTTGGAGGAGATGAGAGTTGAATTTTGTTTCATATTAGCAGGTAAAAGAATTTATCCTTTTTTAAACGTCAGTAGTTTCCACTTCCATCTTGTTCTTTTCCACAGCAATTAATTAAAGTCCTCTATTTTTATTTCTTTTATTAAAATCATCCACAAAACATTTGTACACAATTTTTCTTGACTTTCCGATGCACGAAAGCCATAAATACACAGGATTAAGGTCGAACCTGTAATACACATTTTAACAAGGTAACTAATAAACAACCATTCAATAAACAATTTCCAACCAAATTTTCATATTTGTAAATGTTGACGTTTAATATGTCAACTGAAGAAGAAAAGGCAATCTTTCTTTCTAGAAACAGATTTCTTAGGTAAGTGTATTTTTCAGAATTATAATTTCAAACACGCACTTACATTTAATAAAGAGGTAGAAATCCACCACGGAATCCGAACCCACCATACGGGTAGCCGAACCCCCCATAGGGGTAGCCAAACCCCCCGTAAGGGTAGCCAAAACCTCCGTGAGGGTAACCATAGCCGTAGTAAGGCCGATTAAATCCTCCCAAAAGACCTGCCCCAAGGAGTCCAAGGCCAATCCCTGCTAGCAGACCCCCTCCTCTTCCCCTTCTACCTCCACGCCGCCCACCAATTCGACCAAAGAGCTGGGAGTCACAGGAAGAAATCAGGACGACAGCTACCAAAACTAACACCAAAAGCTGCTTGGAATTCATTCTGAATGCTGAAAACAAATAAAAGGATAAATGGTAACTTAAAATCTGTACTTCAACTTTGTGAGAAAATTTAAAATACAAACAATACCTGGTTTTAGTATCAATATTATTGGCATATTCCAAACATACAAAAATAAATAAATAAATGAAAAAAAGACTGCACAATATATAACTTTCTAAAAGATGCCGTTATTTTTTTAAGGATCATTATTTTAACAAGATCTTTTAACGAAAATGAGGAGGCATATAGTAGACTGAGATTATACTCTAAGTTTTTGTTTATATTATTGGAAAATATGCTAGACGTTTCTGTGTTACACTGTAAATAAATGAATGAATGAATGAATAAAAATAGATAAAGAAATACCGGTACTTTATTCATTTCTGTTTATCATGGTCAAATAAAAGTCTTCATCAATTAGAAAAATCCAATAAATCAGTCAATAAATTAAAACCAACAAAATAAATAAATAATTGTAAAACTACACGTCCCAACTCTAGTGACTTTATGTAAAAAAATTATTAAAATACACGTTCAAGATAATAATACATGTAATTGTAAATAGATAGAGATCAGAAATTTTGTTTATCTTTTAAAATATTTTGTAAATAAAATGAATGTGTTATTTTTATTTGGTATTTTGATTACCATGCGTAATTCGCTCTTTTCGTTACATAGAGTTCATCGTTCGCGCTAAGCTCGTTTGCTCTGGGCGTTGTGTCCAGCTCATCGCTTGCTTTGCTAACCTGATTTCATTCACCTTTTCCTCACCTCCTTTGGCTTACATGTTTCTGTTCACTTGAAGTAGTTGAGTTTTTTAGGGCCGTAACTTTTTGTATTCCAATTGTGAAAATTCAAAAACATATATGAAAAAATCCCATATTTAATAGAACATAAATGTATTGAAGAGCGAATTCACTAATTCACTCACCTGTACTCGTACAATTAATGCCCTGGGGAGAATTTGGAGGATGTTCTACATACAATGGCGTAAATACACATCCTTATATACTCGGCGCGGGGAGCATGATATATAATGTTCTTCTAGTGAAGTAATAAATCAGATTTTTCCCCACTTTTGTTTCCTGAAGCATATAAGAGATGTTTATTCAGACCGATACAGTGATTGATGATTAATTCACCAAAAGATTGAAGACTCTCAATACCTTCCTTTCCAAGTCTCTACATTCAGAAAACAATGGCCAATGAATATAGGTAAAAAATATTAAAACTTCCTGTGGTTTTTAAAATGATTATTTTTAAGTAAGATTTTTGCATATTGATTAACTGTACATTATCATTTGTTGATTCAGTTTGTCATTTTAATTAATAGTAATGACAAAAAATTTTCTGATCTGCTGAGTCATATACGTATGTACATTTTTAAGCATTATGAAAAGTACATTTAAACACAAGGGGTATACTGGTAATCTTGTAAACTAGTATTCTAGTCTACAACCCTAAATCCGGAGCAAGATCTTATAATAAAAAAATTAATAATAATATTAAAAGTGAAACGAATTTCATATTTTTTTTACATACACACGTAAGTAGTCAGCGTCAATAGAAATGTACAAACTCTCTAGATCCAGCGGATTTTAAATATCTTTTTCATCGGAAAAACCACTTCAAAAAACTCCTTGATAGAAGGCCCCGTAGGCTTAATTATATACGAGATATAAGAATGTAGAGGGAAAATATGTGACTTGAAAAATGAGGAACTGCTTGTAGCGATTTTGCAATGCAAAAAATGCTATTGGTATCAATGTTCGAAAGAACTAAAAGATAATCCAGTTTTTGATAAGATGGTTTATTTCTAAATGATAAAGAAGGGTATTCATGCTCCAAGGTCCAATTAAACAATATAAATTGTGAACAGGACAACCACGGACCTCTATAAACATCAGAGATGGATCATGTGCCATAGAGAAGTTAACATCCCATGTCCACTGATCACACCCGTCATAAGGTAGAGCCTCTTGTATGGCAAGCCCTTTTACTATTTATTCGTAAAATAAATTTTCACTCAAAATTACAGAGATATCTCTTATTTTAGAGAGATATCTCTTAAAAAACAGAGATATCTCTCAACTTAAAGAGATATCTCTCAACTTAAAGAGATATCTCTCTAAGAAAGAGATATCTCTTTCACTTAGAGAGATATCTCTTACACTAAGAGAGATATCTCTTTCACTTAGAGAGATATCTCTTCCACTTAAAGAGATATCTCTTTTCCTTTGAGGGATATCTCTTTCGTCAAGAGAGATATCTCATAGCGTTAAAGAGATATCTCTTTCACTTAGAGAGATATCTCTTTCACCTAGAAAGATATCTCTTTTACTTTGAGAGATATCTTTCCAAGTTAAAGAGATATCTCTCAAAGTAAGAGAGATATCTCTCTAAGTTTATCTTAAGAGATATCTCTCAAAGTGAAAGAGATATCTTTCAAAAGAGTCCAAAAGAGATATCTCTCAAGCAAAAAGAGATATCTCTTTACTGTAAAGAGATATCTCTCTACATTATTTTTATTTAAAAAGCATTTTTAATGACTTCTCCCTTTACCGGAAGTAAGCTTTATATTCACGGAAATGCATTAAATCAAAACGAAAGTAGAGACAAGAAAGTAGAACATGTGGTGTTTTATGGTATTTGTGAGCAAATTACTGACTTGCAGGTGTAACAATGACCCCAAGATACGACACAAAAAGGGAGCTGTCCTTCTACAAGTGCTTGATCAACTGATTTAATGGAAAGAAGTTCAGAGTAAGAAACTTAGCCGATCATGAAACATCGTAAACGTATCACAGGGGCTTGCTCCCGAAATGTAAACAATATAAATTTTAAAAAATATATATATCTTAAAACCCATCGTGATGACTGATACAATTTAGTAGATCTACAAATATTTCTTTCTCTTTATTAACATTGTTTACATTCCGGAAGCACCCCCTGTGATCGTTACCTGCATACGAGTGTTTACTTATGTTATTAATATACTATCATACTATGGGTTAGAAAAAGTATTGCAGAAACAAGTGCCTGTAGAAAGCGAGTAGACCATTTGATTCTGAAAGGGGAAGTGACTTGCAAATTTTGGAAATAAATAATCTGAACCTCAAAATGTTGAAAACAAATAATTTGTCCCCCCCCCCCCCCCTTTGTGTGTGTGTGTGTGTGTGAGGGTGCGTTTGTAAACACCTTCAACTCAGCTCAAGTACTTATTGACACATCAATCAACTCACTACAGTTTTTCAAGTCACTACAGTAATCACTGTAGTGAGTTGCCGTTTTACGAAAAATGGGTAGTTCTCGATTACTTATGCCCAAAAAATCGAGAAAAAAAGTTGGTGTCATTTGACAGTTTACACCCGTATTTTCACACTCCGACTTATGATCAAAATATGGCACTTACACACTTTACTCAGTTTTGATTCTAGCGCATGCGCAATGCAGACTAATACTATGGCCGACTTCCGGTGTGTAATGATCTCGATTTTTCTACAAAGCAACAAATGATCTCATCAGGTAAGTTAATTTTCTGTTGATTTTACCGTGAATTAAAGTGTTAATTACAAAACATCACATCGTTTCCATCTACGAAGATATTAATCAATCACTCGATAAACATGGAGTATTTAGATTTCGTTGTTTATATGCCCTTGAAAAATTTATGTTCAAATCCGTTAGTTATAATCCACAAAATAATCCTTTAAGGTTAAAGAATTATTTAAATATATTTCCATATAACTTTAATTCCACTACATGGCCCAATCCATTTGTTAAGCGTAATTTGCAGCCGTCATCGAGTCTTAGTTCGAATTTTCTCGAATTATTCATAATGCTGACATGTTTCTATTTCATGCACTCGTATCAATTAATTATGTTCAACTTATATCAAAAATTATACTTCATGTAATATATCAAACGTATCTGGTTCTTTGTTCTAGTTATGAACTGAATTGGAATTATCTCTATCCTTTATAGTCACACATATTGCCATCAACACATCTCCAGTTCAGAAGTTAAATAAATTATTTTATGAAGTTAGAAATTATTTATCTTATTTATCCTTGTCCAAGACATGCGCTTCATTTGTAATTTATTCTTTGTTTTAAAAAAAAAAACTGCTTCAAATATATATAATTACAAAAGTATTTAACAGTACGTTCTCACCATATAAGAATCACAGTTTTCGATTTTAAATGTTTCTCGACTGATTTTACAAAATTTCAAATGAACAAATTCATTTAAATATTTTCTAATACAATGTCTCTGATGCATGTCACAATGGAACACCTGCACATGTATTGTATAAAAAGAACTGAGAAAGATTAAATATCTTTATAATGGAGGTACGTGCATGATAGACTGTCTTGACTGGAAGGGGAAATGCATTTTTAAAATACTATGGCTAAGATCAGAGTTCTCTTTCATCCAAAAATAAAGCATGCTCAGTTCTTCTTGTATGTGTCCTTAAAGCTGGTAAACTAATCAAAATATGAAAATCTGCAAGTTTTTGTACATGTATTCAGATTGGAAACTTTAATCATTAGTTGCTTACCTGTCCGTGTAAGAGAAATAATTACAGTCTCTAGACTTGATGTGGTGTGATTTCGGTAATTGTTAAATGTGGTTTCCAAGGCTTTACCTTATTTATTCATTAGAGTTAGTGATTCATGTTCACTATTGTTTCCTCAGAAAGATAATCCAGGAATTCTTCCGGGGGGGGGGGGGGGATGAGAGGTTCCATGCCCCCCCCCCCAAAAAAAATCCAACTGAGAAAATTTACCAAAAACTTAAAAAATAAATAGATACATTAAAAAAAAAAGCAAACTTGTCCATCCCCCCCCCCCCCCCCCGAGAAAAACTACATTTGAAAACTCAAAAAAAAAAAAAAATAAAAAATAAAAAATAGGAATGGACTGGACTGGATCGGTACATGAATTGCTAAACATTGTCCATCGTATATATAAAGAACTGCATAAATTTTACACTTAGTCTAATCAGGGACTATGTACAGAAAGATCTTTTTGAACATTGTTAATGCCCCCCCCCCTCCCCTCTCCATTTACCATGTTTATTTCTAGTGAAAAAAATTGTCTGATTTACCTATTCTACTCAAATTTACTCAAGTAATAAACATTTTTTTTCTGTATAAAATTTCATTCCGAGTCATCACCGGAACGAATTACTACTTAATCGTAACTGTTATGGCGTGATGTTTGATTGTGAACCTAATAACATAGAAATACTTATTGGATTATACCTTCGAGGTCATTCTGTGATTTATTTTAGTATGTGAATACCCCTCATGGTAAGTATAGAGTAAGAAACGTTATATAAAAGTGTAAGTGACAAGTTCAAAATATTTACATGATAAACACATCAGAGGTCATTCGAGTCACGTATAAAATTATTAAGTCATGCATGTGATATCAGTCAAGTGCAGATATTTTACAAAAGTTTGGTTGTGCATATATTTTAAACCTTTCACTGTGGTGTTTGTGAGCGTGATACGTGATACAGCTGTGATACCAACATGTAAAAGAAGATAGTGAGACTCTTGTAAATTCGCATACACACACAAAAGATGTAATGGTTGCTCCACACCTCTTCAAATTAAGGCTTTGCCACACTACATGCATGTACAAAGCTTAAAAAACCTGCATCGACGTACAGAAAGATTAACATACTTGCTGGCATATGCTGAAGGCTTGTGCCATGCACCATAAACTGAAGTAAAAAATGGTCATTAAATCAACCATATTAGCACCAAAGTGTGCATTCAATTTTCCTTTGACTCTGTTCATTGGAAAGATTTCGACATTATATCTTTTAAAGGAAAGGTTTGTTTTGTTTGTATGTTGTTTAACGTCCCTCTCATATGGAGACGCCACCACTTGCCGGTGGAGAGCTACAAATTTTGTCCTATACTCGGCACTTACGGCCATTGAGCAGTGATGGATCTTTTTTGTGCCAGCACCTACTGCGACACGGGACCTCGGTTTATACGGTCTCATCCGAAGGAC